GCAGACACGGGCTCGCGGATGGTGCATTCAGGGCAGGTATCTATTCCAGCCTTGGACAGTTAGTCTTGAATGAAAATAGGCTCAGGACGGCGGCGAGTTGTACCTCGTGACCGAGACGCGTGCGACTGGAAGGGATTGTCAAGTAACCATGGCCGTAGACGGACCCAAGTAGGCTGGAGGCAGCCAGGGTTGTTGAGAACTTCATCTTGGCAAAGTTCAGATAAAGACTGCTACGATTGAGGGCAAGAGGGCGAGGCGCGAATAACAGATAGGGCGCTTGATGGACGTCTGCAATCTCATGGCCATCTCATTAGTATGAGGCCATGACCTTGAATTTATACACGGTTTCTCCGCAGACCCTCGTGCCATCGTGAACCATCACCACCACACGATGCCACTCTGCGAGTCCAAGTCAAGCTGCTCCCACCGGCCGTCATCACAAGCAGCGCCGAAGTACCTCCAACCGAGACGGGCCAACCCGCACGTGTTTCCCCGGATCTAAACTCGGAGTGGAAGTCCGGGGGCATCCCCAAATGACATGCAGGTGATGGCGGGGTAGAGAGTTCTGTTAGTGCCGGCTGTCATATCTCCAACCGGAAACCAGCGCGGGGTGAAAAGGGCCGTTGTGTGGCCGCATTACCCCTCCAAGATCGAGTTGGCCGAGACCTTGAAGGCCCTTGGCGTCGCTTCCTGCCAAGTTACGCTCCTGTCAAACTCCTGCAGGAATGACACCCGACACATGCTTGAGGCGGAGTTTGGCGGAGTCGAGGTGGCATCCCGCCCTGCCGATCAGATGACTTGTCGAGCCGGGTGGCTGCTCGACTTCACGACAACCTCACTATTGAATAGACGGCCCGAAGATGGGTGCTTTATCACACTTGAGAGGTGGAAGTTTCGATGTTTTGGGCTGAGGGGCGGCGATGGCTTCGCGAAGCTGCCGAGGAATGTCCGGTTTCTGACGCCATTGACGAAGGTCTAGCTGGCTATCATGAGTATCACATGATATGCTCTTCGTAGGATCATTTCTGTCATTCAGAAATCCCTCCAATACTGGACATCGGGCAGTATTCGGGCGAAAACGTAGCTCCGCTACAAGGTTGCTGATGGACAGACGCGTCTTCGTACAATAACAAGGTAAACAGTTGGTATCGTCAAGCCGATCGGCAATTGTTGCTTCGTGGCGCTCTATGTCGGCAGAGCTCGGAGTAGGGGGAACAGTTTTATGAACAATTGGTGACGATTATCTGATCAATCATATGAAGGTGTCGGGAAGTGGGAAGCGGTCGTCTTTATCCCGCCGGCCAGTTTTGTTCAAAATCTGGTTGCATAGCGGAACCCATGTTCAGTTATCTCAGGGTGAACTACCGGAAAGCTGCAGTCAATCTTGACTCTAAACCTAACCAAGAGGCTTTTTCTACTGGGGCTTATTCTCTCCACAGTTCATCTGATATGAAAAAGCATCAATTAAACACCAATCGGTTTGGCCCCGTCCATGCTTTTGCGGAGTCCAGACTGCGCCAACAGCTAGACCAATCCTTATTTCTGACAACACAGCGTGTGCCGTGGAGGATATCGCTGCCCTTCCAAACTGCCGCGAAGCCAGCAGGGAAATGAACAACAAATTTTCGGGTAGACAGGGGTCGCATAGTACTGTTGCGGGAACCCCGACGTCTTTACCGCGAGCCTTATGGGGCTTAAATTGCCGCTACGAGTCAGTTTACCGCAACAACAGCCAACGATCGGGAGAGCCGACCACTTTAAGCATCGCCGCAGGGACATTAATAGCATCTCTTAAATGAAGGACGTTATGGAACCGCCAAGCCACACTGACCCGGCACATGTAGAATTATTCTTGATGAAGTCGTGAGTCTCCTGTATTTAACAAGTTGGGATGTCCCGTATTTGAACAAACTTACTACAACCTCAGACACCACACATACCAGGGCATAAAAGTCAATCGCTACCTACCTCATACACACCCGTTCAAGAACGAAGCCCTGAAGTCGCGGGCATAATCAGCACATCGGCCCCCAACCAACAGTTCCACCACATCACCAATCACCGATCTCGAGCACGGTTCACAATGCCTGCCATCTACATCGAACCCCTGCATCACCTCCTCTCCGCCCGCGATGGCGACGACGACGGCGATGGAGGTCTCCACATGCCCGGCACGGTGATGGCCATCATCATCGTCTGCGTTCTGGTCTTCGTCGGCGTCCTCGGTCTCTGCTGTTGCTGCTGCTGCCGCCGGAAGCGTAAAGGAGGCTCCGGCAGTGGCAAGGACGATGGCAGCGGCAACGGCAGCAACAACAACGGCGGCTTCGACCCGACGAAGTGGATCAAGAAAGCCGTGAAGAAGACCACAAAGAAGATCAAGAAGATGTTCATGAAGAAGAACAAGAACAAGAAGGAGAAGGACGCCACTGCCAACGAGTCGGTTCCTTACGGCCAGGGCACGCACCCCGGTTTCGGAGACAATGAGAGAGGATACAACAGGCTTGATGCGCAAGCGGAGGAGGAGACCGTGGGAATGACGTCGCCTTATGGACAGAGGAATTGAGGGGGAAGGCTAGGGCATGTGTGTGATGACGTATGAGTAGAGGAAAGGCCATGGAATTAATAACTTACAGCGATATGAATTACTCAGCTACTTGCTAACTGTCTGTGCTACGGAACTGATGAATCTTTGTGCATGCTGGAGATTCTACTGTGTATCATGATGCATATGCGACAATGCTCTAGGGACTTCACTTCTTGGTGCCGCCGCCGCCGCCGCCGCCGGTGTCACCACCAGTGTTACCGCTATTTCCACCGCTACTGCTTCCTCCCTTGTCCTTGCCATGACCGTCATGGCTGAGAGATCCCTTTCCGGCCTTGGGATCTTGCCAAGGAGGGTTAGTAGGGTCGTGATAGTAGATAGGGGTTCTGCTTCCAGAAGACATGGTTGTGGATCTATAAATTGATTTGAAAAAGGGGTTTGTGAGGTTGAAGGGTGTCTTTGTTGCTGTGTGATGCTATCGTGGACATGGCAATCGTGTTTCTCTCGCGGCTTTATATATCAACACCAGTTCGAAGACATTATGGTGAATAGCCAGCCCTAAACCTAAGTTCGTTTCATCACTTTGGACAGCATTCAATATTGTGGTCATTTGGAAGAATCATGAGCATCACCACAACACTTGACTGCACCAGTTACAGGGCTGTCTTCAAGCTCCGTTTTTGCGCAACTTCACCGTGGACGACTACTTAGAATGCCATTGCTTTACGCCATATTTGCAATTCACTTGGGTTTTGAAGAGGCCGTCGGCTTTGGATACATGACTGACACTGTGTGCCATTCCAATCGCCGCAAACAATGTTTCATACATAGGTAGCTTGAATTGACCAATTGTGTCCGAGATAACGATGTCTGAATTATGTTGATGTCATGGACGTGCTTCTACATGAGGTACGTTGAAGTACAGAATTGGCCACGTGAGACTCGAGGTCTCAAAAGCTACTCCCTGCCCAACAACCATTTCATTCCTTTCATCGTATTCGACGCCAAGTCCACAGGAACCTCCTTAGGCGCAAAGATAGTCCAGCCTTGGTGACCCCAATCTAAGTAGTTATCCACCCTTACTTCAACGCCGTTTTCCTGCAAAACCTTGGCATATATCAACCCATCATCTCTCAAAGGATCTCTGTCACCGACGTGAATATAGGCCTTTGGAGACTTTGGGATCGCCTCAGGGTCGTTGATGGGTGAGTACCATTTTGATCTGACATCCGCATCATATGCATGCTTTACAGATTCAATGACGGCCTTTGTAAACGTCTCACTCCACGTTGCGTTGTCCTCTCGGGAGGTCCATTCTGAGGCGTACTTCTCGGGGACGATATCTTTGCTGAAGATGAGCGGGATACCCAGCATCACACCGGTGATACCAAGACCTTCAACGCCGGATCTCTGTGCGACGACTGCAGAGATGTTTCCTCCTGCAGACCAGCCACCGATCACGAAACCCTTGGTGATGTCTGCGCCGTAGCGTCTGGCGTTCTTGGCAAGCCATTTGGCAGTCTCCCAACCGTCCATGACGGCTTGAGGAAACTTGTGCTCGGGCGCCAAGCGGTAAGTTGCATTGACGACAACAGCGTCAAACTCGAGGGCAAACTCGCGAGCAGGTCGGGTTGTTGGCTCGACGCCCGCCACGATGAAGCCGCCGCCAGGCCAGAGGAGAATAAGAGGTTTTCCGCCGTTTCTTTCGTTTACACCGCGATGGCGCACGACTTGGAGGTCGATCTTGTAGCCATCAGGAAGAGTAGCCACGTCGCGGAACTCTTCGAGTGAGGGGTCCAGGGGCGGCAGGGCCGCCAGAAGACTTTGTATCAGTTGTGGGCGGGCTTCGCGAGACTTGATGAACGAATCCATCTTTGAAATTGAGTGAAACTTGATTTGCTTTGAGCAGTCAAGATATTAAGAGTTGGCAAAAGAAAAAGAAAGTTGATTTAGACGGGAAAAGAGTATCTCCAAAGCCCCGACTCTCACACAACACAACTCAAGTCCCCCGCATTCGCAATGTTGTGGGTCCGGGAATTTGCCCGGGAGAAGATGTCGGCGGCAACTGGCCGAAACTGGGTCGGGATGGTGCGTGTATGACCGAGGTTGGGGATGCCGCCCCGTATTTAGCCTACTCCTCCGCCGCAAGTTCCCTGCTGACTTGTGCGTCATTTGAGCAATCTGTATTTGGGTACATATGGGTCTAGATGTCTTCTTCCATGAAGCTCATAACTTTCTAGCTGATACATACACTTTGTGACGTGCACATACCGAACGTCCTCAACCACTTAAGGATATACCATGAGTTCATCGAAGATGAGTGATTTGCCTTTGCCACACTGCATCGTACCCGTTGAATAGGTCTACATGAATATTGTGCCCGTAACGACTCTCTGAAACCTGTTTACCATCACTAACCACCGATGATTACCCACGGCAGGCAGTTATCGTCTTTTTGTTAGAGGCGAATGCAGAATTCCAGGCAGCTAGATGTTTGTAACACTCCTCGTTTCCACCATGAGTATTCCTGTCCCGGTTCCCATCTATGCTTGCCAACTTGCTCCATCTCTAATTCTCGCATCAGCATCCCGCAGGCCAACAGCTGCTCCAGCTTGTTGCCCTGCAAAGCGAGTACCAGGACCTGATCGGACGATCGGTCTGTAAAGCGGGCCATGTGAAAGCCCTCGATAGCCACCTCTCGATCTTTTTTCAAAACGTAAGCTGAATTGAGACCATGCTCGCATGAAGGCACGATGACACCCGACAGCAACGCTACCAAACACCTTTTGAATCCCCAATACCTGTTTCGCGAATTTGCGACGTCTACTTGTAGCTCGAGCTCGATGACAGTCTCGTGCAGGGCGACATCCATGAAAATTTTGGTTTTTGATGGTCGGTAATGGGGCTGTAAAAGTGTCCCGCCTGCAAGTAGACTTGGCGCCATCGTCTGTCCTCTGCATCTCATGGGGTTGACTATACTGTCCATGTCCCTGATCGTGTTCTCTCCAATCATGTTTCGAAACGAGCCTGCGACAGACGCTCTGCCAGTTCGTATACTGATGATACGCCCAAAATTATCGTAGCAATCGTTCTCCATGATGCAAGAATAGTGGATAGTATAAGTCCCTCCGGAGATACCCAAAATTTTCCACCAGTCCCTGTCCAGGCCGTTTTTGTCTATGGCTTGCTCGGCCAATTCATCTGAGTAGTCTTCGAGAAACACCTCTGCTAGGTATACCATCAACTTGTCAGAAATTTTCCCATCAAACATCGCTACCCGACCTGAGTCGGATTTATGTTGTGATGGCAGGAATTCAGCGCTCCATGAGTCACCTTGGTTCCGGCGTTTAGTTAAAGAGGTTTCTGGTATCCGGAGTTCCAATGGATCAAATTTGCAGTGCGCCAGTGCCAGTGCAATGACGGAGGTATTAAGAATGAGGGCACCGATCTGCTCGCAAATACACAAATCTTCATAATGGTGCCAATAGTCATCAAGCATAGTATCAGCAACCAGACTTACATCAGAATGATGCAAATCGCAGGAACCTGCTAGTCTTAGCACCTGGTCTCGAGCCATGTATGTTAGGCCGTGACTCGCTGGGCCCATGACCTCGAAACGAGGTCTTCGCCGATTTTTTTTCAATGGCTGCTCGGTCGACTCAGCTACGGAAGGATCCGGTTGGGACTGAGTCGTCAGCGTCGAAGCTTGAGGCAGACTTGTTGGTTGAACCCTCGTTACTGGAGACCCTGGCGGTCGTACAGGTGGTGATGGCCAAGGCGGCAGAGGCACCGGCGACGGAGATCGCGAAGAAGGTGATGTCAGTGCCGATGATGAAGATGGAGACGATGGTGATGACCACGGCGGCTCCTCGTGTACACGTCGCGCGTGGTTTGGTCTCCAGTCATCACCAAGATTCCGTATTTGACGCGGGAAGCTTTCTGCTGAATGCTGCTGATTTGGCCGGATACCTAAAACACGCAGAACGGTCTCTAACCCGCCCATATTGTCAAAGCCACCAGTCGTTTGATAATGCCTGAACGACGGACTGTATTTATGCGGGAAACCTGTAGAACCTTCAAAAAGCCTAGCAAATAGTCGCCTTGACATTCTTTGGATTGCATCGTGGATGGCCATCGCGATGTCTGGACTAATCTGGGGTCGTTTGGCCAGAATGGCTTCCACGGCATCTCCGATCGAATGGTCAATGGTAAGGACCAAATCCTGGTGTGAGTTTTCGCGGCTCTCAATAATAATTTGGGGCGTGTTCAAAGATTGGATAGAAAACTTGTCAATGGAATGCTTTCCCAACTGGAAAGTAATACTCCCCTTGTCCCCCCCCCCCCCCCGCATGCCCATAACAGCTTTCCATGACAAAGAAGCTCAACGGACATTCCGAGCAGGTGACTTGCAAAAGCAGGAAGCCAGGATCCACGCATTTCTAAGATCATGTAGTGATCTTGTCGGTTTTCGGACGTGTAAATCAGCTGCTTAATTGCCCCCGCCAGAGCAGATGCTGAACCCAGGTGTCTCAATTCCCAGAGTGGTTGTCGATCTGGTCTTCTGCCATTGGCTGATTTGGATAGGATTTCGGCTTCCAATGAGCCCTCCACCACGTCGGTAATGTGTTGAAGAACTTTTGAAAATCCAAGATCATGGACGAATGGCGTCAAATACGCTGCAAGCTCTTTCAGAACGTCGACGCTTGGGAGTCTTTCGAGGCTGATACCGAAGATGCCCAATAACTCCGAGAGGCATTGTGCAGCTTGGAAGGGCGATGAACCAGTTGTAAGTGCTCCCACAAGTAGCAGAGCATTCGTCCCAGCCCGTGTGCGCGTCATCTCAACCACTGGGGTTGAATGACCCCAGCCAGTGCTAAGAGCCTTCGACAAGACTGACTGATATCCGCGTCTTTGCGCAACATGTGCGTGAACCGTGTCTGCCAAGGTTGACCGGATGGGAACCCTAGCGCCTAACCAGAAAGCGGCACCAACGGCGTAGATGTCGACTTTGCCATCGCTCAGAGCTTCCAATACGCGGCCCGTCAGCATGTGGGTAAGAGATCCCAGGTTGATGACATCGCCTTGAAAGGCAAAGTCCACCTCGTTGGACATCTTGTGTGGTTGAAGTCGTAGCAGACAGAAGAAGTATGAATGCTGCGTGAGATTATGTAGGCGTCGTGTGAAGTAGGAGGGAGATTTTGATGTCAGCTGGGGCGGGGTAAGGAAATGACCAGGAATTATGTGTTTTAGCCTGATCTGATACTGTGGCAGGCGGGTAAAAACGACTAGCTACCAACGTGCATCTCAATCCACACAGCCTTGGCGATAAGCGGAATTTGAACGAATGAAACGCCATAAGTCACTTGAGGAATAGAGATCGTTCTTATTGGTTCCATTTGAGAAGACTTGCTAGCCCAGGAAATGTGCGCAGTATATGTTGATGAGGATGAGGAAGACGGAAGGAACAATAATAGTGACAATAGAGCAGGAGCAGGAGTGAGAATCACTCACTCCTCCGTCCAGCCAGCTGAAACAGTCATCCCGTATCATAAACTTCAGGATAATTAAATAGTGCCCTAAAAAGTAAATGAAGTCAGACGCCAGGAACTCAGCGTCTAAGGAAATCAACTTACTCCAACTTCACACGGGTTATGAAGCAGCGATTGCAGACTCAAAGCTTTTCCAAGAAGGTAACGATGTCAAGTTATTAAAGGATAGATTGCGGATTCTGATTCAGTTTCGAATGCCTGATCCGAAAGGCCGCTGCAATCACCATATGCCTCACCCACGGCGGTCACCTTCGCCCACGATTGCAAGTACTCGTCCTACATTGCTCCATAATCAACCAATCACATTCACCAAAACCTTAGCGCCATCCCCAAAATTGCTAAGCACTACCTCCACGCCCTTCACGTCACCAAAAACACCAACAAAATACCCCGCCTAACAGCATTCACGATCCGCCCTCACACCCTCACTCTCATCCCATCACCCCTAAGTCTCCTGATCCTCCGACCGGCCGGAAAGATGCCCCGCTCCGAAGAAGCAGAAACGTTCTTCTTCGCCGTCTACTCCGCCGTCCAGGAGATCCCCCACGGCAAGGTGACGACCTACGGGCACATTGCCCGGCTCATCGGAACCCGTGAGTCCTTCCACTACCTCCAACTCATCTCACCTCCTCTCACCACCTTACCAATCCCCTTGAACTTCAAATGCAACAATCTCGGATCACAAATCACAGCCCCAACTAAGTTTCAACTAACCTCTCTCCGCAGCTGAACGTCCCCGCCAAGTCGGCATCTGCCTCAAACATCTCCCAACAGACCCCTCCGCCCGCTTCAACAACGAAAACGTCCCCTGGCAGCGCGTCATCAACGCCAAAGGCGCAATCTCACCTCGGTAGGATTTCGTCTCCCATCCATCCCTCGCTTCCTCCCAAAGCCTCTCACCTTCTCTCAATCGAATCTTTCCACCTCTCACTCCGACTGAAACTGCCCACCACAGCTCCCAGCCCACAGGCGCAAGAAGCCAAGCCGACGCCCTCCGCGCCGAAGACGTCGAGGTCACGCAGACGGCCATGGGTGAGTTCGAGGTGGACTTCGACTCGTACGGCTGGTTCCCCGACGTCCTCCCGTCGGAGGAGGGCGAGCAATGAGTCGCCCCTTCCACGAGAGCCTGAGATGAACCATAGCACCGAGAAGCTGCACCAGGATCACCAAATCAGGAATGCAGAGCGAACTTCAAAATTCTTCTTATTCAACCGAGTCCATCCGGTTCGGCGCGCACTAGGATTAACCAAAGGTATAAGATGTATGCTAGCCCCCCAGATCACTCCGTCTCAACAAAAAGTCTAACGAATGCCACCCAGGTTGTCCTTCCGACTGACAACCCACGACCTCCGTCTCCCGTTCCTTTTTGTCCCTCGTGCCATCATCAGAGGACGTCGTTGGTCTTTGCTATTCGTAGACGACTTATGTAAAATGAAATAATTAAGTTAAAACAGAAGAAGTGAAGGTTCAAAACACCTTGTCCATGACGCATGAGCAAAAGACGCGTAGTGGTATTGAGAAAGAGAAAAACGTCAAAAACCCTCGGTAGAACGACGCAAGCGCGAGCCGCCAGTGTGAGAAACTCCTGCCCAGTCTCTGGGTTTCGCCATGCGTAGGGGGAATCATCTTCGGCCAGCATAAACATTTCGCAGATGCAAGAATACAATGTCGCAAAGGGGGTCAGAGAAAGAGAATCAAACAACTCCCCTTCCCGACAAAAGAAACCACTTTCTTTATGAAGAAAAAGAGTCCAGTCGAGCCCGGTCTCTTCGAATGGGAAATCCCAGGTAACAGGGCTTCGCCTAGAAGCAGTTGAGAGAGCCCTTCTTCTTCTTCTTGGACAGAGCGTTCATGCGCTCCTCCAACAGACGTTGCTGGGCCTCGGCAGCTTGTCTCTTCTTGCGCTCCTCCTCCACGGCGTGAAGACTCCAGCGGTTGTCCGGCTGTGGTGTCGGCGCGGGACGGTCCTTGAGCTCCTTGATCTCGGCCTCCAGATCCGTGCAGCGCTTGCGCCAGGCATCGCTGTCTGCCTTGACCTTGTTGGACTGGCGTTCGAGGTCCGTGAGAGCCTCCTCGAGGGTCTGAGTGAGCTGCTTCTCGGCTTGGAGATGCTTCTCGATGGTGCGGATGCGGGCCTCCTGGTCCTCTTGGATTTGGTTGGAAGCGCCATGGTGGTCTTTGCTGGCGGGGCGGGTTCCCTGCGTAGGAGTGCTCGGCACTGTTCCGTTGGGGCCGGCGTTGGCACCAGGGAGGGGCGGCAGAGGAATAGCCGGTGGGGGAGAAGGCAAAGAAGCAGCGGATGAGCTCTTGCGCAGAGGTGAGCTCATTGAGTTGGATCGCTGTACGTTGCCAGAGTTGGATACCTCGTCAAGCTTGGCCTGTGTCAAGTTAGCTATATTGATCGGTGGGGGAGAGTAAGAATCACGTACCTGAAGAGCGGCGTACTCGGCCCTTAGAGACTCCAACTCAGACTCGGCCTTGAACTTAGCAGCCTGCGCGTCCTCGATCTGAGCGTTGCGCTCGGTCTGCAGCGTGGACAGACGGTTGTTGGTCATCTGAACCTGATCGAAGTTGCTCTGAAGCTGGTCCTCGAGTTCCTCCACGAGACGGGAGTTCTTCTTGTTCCTGTGTTCCAGGTCTCCGATCTTCTTACGGATAGCAGACAGCTGGTCAGGAAGAGGAGCGGGGCTTCTGATAGGCTCGCCCTCTGCGGTGAGCAAGTCAGTAAGGGTCGACTTGGCCTGCTCCAACTCCTTGAGGATATTGTCGTTAATGGTCGACAGCTCAGTGACATGCTCCTGAATCTCGCCCGACTTCTTTTGTTCCTCGGTCAAGGCCTTCTGGTCGGCGATGAGGTCATCAATGCGCTCAGTGATCTTCTCGATGCTGACGTCGAGACCAAGGGCGAATGCGACCTGAGTAGCAACCTTCATAAGATCCTCCCGAGCGTCGTTGAGCTCACACTCAAGGAGTCTGACATTCTCAGCGTGCTCATTCAGAAGAACGGCGACCTGTTCTTCGTAGCCCTTTTGCTCTGACTGCTTCATCTCTTCGAGCTCCTTGGCGTGGTTCTCTTGCAACAGCTTCATACCGTCTTGGTGGGTCTTGAGAGCCTGCTCGTGGGCAGCAATCTGGTTCTCCAGGTTCGAAATCAAGCTCTGCTGAGTCTTGGCTTGCGTCTCGTGCAGGTCACGGGCCTTGATAGCCTCCTCCAATTCCGCCTTGGTAGCTTCGTGGACGGCTTCGAGCTCGGAGACCTTGCTGGCGTTGGCATCGATAGCCGCCTTATACTCGTTGATCTCATCGCGGAGGTTCTTGACTAGGGTCTCGTGCTTCTCCTCAATCTCCTTGACCTCTTCGTCACTTCGTGTAGCAGACTGCTCGGTGGTTCTGGTGTTGAGAGAAGTGATTTCAGCCTCGAGCTCCTCGATTGTCTTCTTCATCTTGGCCTCCGTTTCTTGCATGGTGTCGAGAGCGGTCTGGTGCTTCGTCTGCCAGCTGGCCAATTCGGTCTGGAGTTCAGTAATCTTCTTGTCGTTCTCCTCGGTTGTTGGCACTGCTCTGGTTTGGACGTCGGAGATATCTGTGGATGCCTCGGGAACGGAAGCAACGGCAGCGGCAGTGGCAGCGGCAAGCGCAGCCTCGTTAGCTTGAGGTGACGACTCGGTGTCGTCTGCGGGGATCTCCTTCACGGCAGTTCGCAGGCTCTCGAGCTCGGCCATCAGCCTCTTTTCGCTGGCCTCGTGAGTCTCCCTCATATCCCTCATCTGCTTCTCATTTGCCTCCAACTGGTTCTTGAGGTTGGAAACGACAGACATGTCCATGGGAGAGGCTTTCAAACTGGAGCGCTCACGGGTGAGGCCAGAGATGATAGTCATCTTTGTCTCGATCTCCTTCTTGGTGGATGCAATGTCTGCCTCGAGTTCCTGGATTCTCTCAGAACGAGCATGGAGTTCATGCATGGCGGCGTTGAGGTTTAGCTCAAAGTTCTGCATGACATCGGGCTGCTCTTCGAAGTTCTCCGCGGCGATGTTACGAAGCGAGGCGAACGATCGGTGAGCGCGATCGATAATCATTACATTCTGGCTGGATTTGCGGCGGATGACAGGTTGTCCACTTCGCGGCGAGGTAACTTCCAAGGCCTTGGCTTGGGCAACCTCTGTCTTGAGCTCCTCGAGCATGTCCAGAGCCTCGTGGTGCTTCTGTTCAAGTTGAGTGTACTTGTCAGCCAGCTCCCTTTCGGCCTCCTCCTTCTCGGCTGCCAACATCTTGAACCTCTCAACCTCCGTTGCGAGGAGGTCCTGGTGCATAAGATCCTCGGTCGAAAGATGCTCGAGATCAGACTCTCCCTCAGGCTTAGCTGTGGCAGTCTCCGCATCAGAGGGATCGGCATTGGCGGGCGACTCCATGGCGGAGGACAATTCGGAAGACAAGGACCGAGACGAAAACTGGCCATTCTCCTTCAAGTCGCTCGACCTCGCATCGGAGAAGAAGGAAGGTGGTCTGGTGAGGTTGGGAGAAGTGACAGACATCATCGAGTCTCTGACCTTGCGTTCAGGGTGT